TATCATTCTTAGTTGAATTCGGAGGCAGGGGAAGGGAAGCAGCAAGGGGGAGCTTTGGGGGTGGCAGACAGGAAATCGGGGGCTTGGCCGTGGGAATGGGAAAGAGGAAACATTGATGAAGGCAAAATGGAGGTGCTGCAGTGGTGGGTGGTGTTTTCTCCTCAGCTCGAGGGAGCTCCACCCCCGGACCCCCTCCCTTCCGGACCCCCAAGCTACGCTCCATGCTTAGGGCCCCCAAAACTCCTAAGAACGGCTCTGACTACACTTCACACACTTGCGTGTGTTGCCTCCTGTCTTCCAACCCACAGTTCATAATACTATTGCTGAGTAGCCTTTGCAGCCAGTGAAGTATCCCTTTCAGAGCCACGCACAGTTACATCGTGAATCCCTCTGATGCATAGGAGCCAGTATGATAAATTCATTGATCGTGGGCCCTCAAAATATAGAAGAAGAAGACGTCATCAATGAACACAAGATACGCACCAAATTTATCTATCTAACCCACCCCCACAGTTCTCACGTGTACATACAATTCTCATGTGTACATACAGTTCTCATGTGAACATACAGTTCTCATGTGCATAAACAGTTCTCATGTGTACATACAGTTCTCATATGTACATACGGTTCTCATGTGTACACACAGTTGTCATGTGCAGGTACATTTCAAATGGGTGCATGCAGCTCTCTCGTGTTCATATAACTCTCATGTTTACATAAAGTTATCATGTGTACACATAGTTCTCATATGTACATACAGTTCTCATGTGTACATACATTTCTCGTGTGTATATACAGTTCTGATGTGTACATACAGTGCTCATGTGTACATACAGTTTTGATGTGTACACACAGTTCTGATGTGTACACACATTTCTCATGTGTACATACAGTTATCATGTGTACATACATTTCTCATGTGAGCACACAGTTCTCATGTGCAGGTACATCTCACATGGTTGCGGGCAACTCTCTTGTGTACAAATAACTCTCATGTGTCCATACAGTTTTTCATGTGTCCATTACAGTTGTCATGTGCAGGTACATCTCACATGGGTGCATGCAGCCTCCCTTGTGTGCATACAACTCTCATGTGTACGTACAGCCATTACATAAACGTTGGCATATAAAAAGAAACTAAACATTTATTTATAAAGCATTTCAGTAAATTGAACTTTTCTAGCTCTAGAAACATTGCTGCCAAAAGAGAATCACAATGTCTACAGAACATTTTACAAAAAATATCTACTGCACAGTATTTTGATTGTTCATTTTCACCCACTTCTTGATGTCCATTTGAGCTAAAGCTTTGTACACTTACCCACCCGGATGACTATCAAACCCTTCGTGATCAGCAGGTAACGAACGACCTAACTGTCCCTTGCGTGACATCTGCGGGTCAAATCTTGCATCAAAATTTTGACATACTTCCTACGTTCCAAAATGAGCTAAAACTTAGTTCACTTTGACTAATAAGTACCCAAAAAAAAGAGTATTAAAAATATTTTTTTTTTAAAACACGCTTTTCCAAATATGTACTAAAATTTATGAAATGTATGTCCCCAAATGTTTCAAGGTTGTTTCAGACATATAACTAAAAAAAAAAAACCATGAATTAAATAATGCCGTAAGAATTTTTCTTAGGTTACTCTGTCCTTGTGTGTTCAAATCTTGCATCTGCCTGTTCCTGGGAGGTAACGAGTAGAAAACACCCGGCAGGTCACCACAAAGAAAACGTCGCCGAGAGCAGAAGGCGGGTCTTTAGTTGTTTGTGTGCAGCTCGGCCAGTCGGCCACAAATCGGTTTTGATTCCAAAAAACGTGGCTCTTGACAGGGACTTGAAAAGAAATATGGCTGACCAAAAATTGTTAATCGTCCTGCTGCTGATTATCGGATCATTTGACTCATGAGTTTGCCGACCACTGACCTAACGTATTGTTCTAGAAAGAAATCAGGGTTTCTTAATCTGATGTCTTTTACTCCATTGATGCCTGCAAATCTTATGTACGTAATCCAAGAAAAACGTATTTCCATAGATTCAGAAACCGGACTAAAAGAATCTCATAGATCCAGAAACCGGACTAGAAGAATCTCATAGATCCAGAAACCGGACTAGAAGAATCTCATAGATCCAGAAACCGGACTAGAAGAATCTCTAAGATCCAGAAACCAGACTAGGATTAGAAGAATCTCAGAGTTCCGGAAACCGGACCAGGACTAGAAGAATCTCATAGATCCAGAAACCGAACCAAGACTAGTAGAATCTCATAGATCCAGAAACCGGATTAGAAGAAACTCTGAGATCCAGAAACCAGACTAGGATTAGAAGAATCTCGTAGTTCCGGAAACCGGACCAGGACTAGAAGAATCTCATAGATCCACAAACCGGACTAGAAGAATCTCATAGATCCAGAAACCGGACTAGAGGAATCTCATAGATCCAAAAAATAAAAATAAAAATGGACTAGAAGACTCTCATAGATCCAGAAACCGTACAAAAAGAATCTCATCTTTTAGTTATTAATTAGCTGAGATATTCTTTTTTTAAAAAAACTATCATTTATACGTGGCTCTAAGATAGGTTAGGAAAACCCCGTAATTATAATATTTCAGTGATTTCTTCATGTAAGGCCGACAGCTTCAAACATTGTTTCCAGTTTCGCGAGGAGTTGATGTTTAAACCTGAATATAGAGGAATCCAAAGACGTATTTAGGAAAACCCCGTAATTATAATATTTCAGTGATTTCTTCATGTAAGGCCGACAGCTTCAAACATTGTTTCCAGTTTCGCGAGGAGTTGATGTTTAAACCTGAATATAGAGGAATCCAAAGACGTAGACTCGTTTTGAAGTGTAAGATTCGTGTAATACAAATGAGGGTTGTAGTGATGTAAAATCGCCAGGTCTTTGCTGACAACCAGGGTCGTAGCATGATCCTTGTGCTGATGGGTGAAGTGGATCCCTGCGTACTTGACCAACTCTGGTCGAACGATCGCCTTTGTTCTGTAGTTAAATGTAAATATCCTGTCCAGCCGCTGGAGGTGAAGAAATGGTGTGATACAGTATTTAAACATTAAGTCTTCTTCCTGTTGCAGAACCGAGAATTCTCGCGAAGCTACCCGCCAGGCGGACAGATCTGGGATGGCGAAGTGCAGCGCCGATTCAAACACATAGGTCCCTACGTGCTTTTTGAAATTGTTTCCGGGCGTCGTTTTAATCATCTTGGCCTCGAGGTCAGCGGCTTCGATGACTTCCGTAAACGTATTATGGTTGTTGGGTATGATGAGCTCGTCCGTGTCTTGCACAGCGACGAACCTCGACACGAACTTGTTCCTGTGGATGCAGTCGTTGATGGCCAGAACCTGGCCGTGGTACCAGATGTCCGAAGGAGGCAGCGGCCACTGCAGGACGGTGAGGAGCCCGAGTCTCTGGTAGTGACGCAGCACGGCGTCTGTCGTGTTGGAGACGCTGTGGTTGTACACGAAGAAGTGCTGGGAGCCCAGGACGCGGTTCATCTCGATGGACTGGATCAACTGAAGCGGGCGCAAGTAATTGAACAGGACGGCGTAGCACGTGGTGACGTTGCGACGCAATGTTTTAGGATAAGCAATCCGCACCTCATTGGTGGGCACGTCGGTTGACTTGAAGGTTAAGGACACTACGACGGGGGCAATCCTGGACTTGTAGGAACAGATAAAACTAACGGCGCCGGTGCTGTGAATACAAGTAAATTTTGGGGAAAAAAATATGTTAACATATTTTTAAAATAAATAAATATATACATATGTATATAAATGATCCATTTTTGACGATTCATTATCATATTTTAATCGGATTAAGGTATAAACTGAGGCGGGCAGGGTGTGAGAAGGTGGACACACGTATATTCGAAGGTTGAAATATTCTTGTAAGATTGGGTGCTTGTCTTTTAAGACATTCAACTATTTATACTAGAGTGGGTGCTTATTTTTTTTTAGGCCTTCAACTATTTTACTTCAACTGACCAGCCCGCCAGATTAAGCGTGTCCATATTGTCAACGAGCAGTTTACTCTCCTTAAAGTTACAATTGATTTTATTAGACGCTGGGCAGTTTAAATTAAGTGGTGATAATCTCTTTTGGGATCACTTGACATATGATGGGCCGACACGTAGGAATATGTGAAGCGTCCCTTAGGTATGTGTTTTTGCCATTGTTTAGATGTGTCCCTCTTAGGATGACACGAATTTTCACTCCATTTGAATCGGGTTTTGTGACTACCTGGCCAGCAAACTGAAATTGCAGACGTTTTATCCAGATCAAAAGAGACCATGCATGCTCGTGCGCCACACACACCAACTTTCGCCCGCGCGTGACCAAAGAAATCTGGCAATTGGAAATTTTAATCGGACAGATCTCCAACATCTCCCAGCTGCTGCCCCACCAAAACCCGCCCTTAATTTCTAGCGAATCCCCTCCCAGAACTGTCTACCTGTTACCATGACTTTCCGGAAGTAACTCTCTCCTCCCTTTCAGCATCTTCTTGGTCTTAGTGTCTCCTAAATGGCAGTAGAGCGTCGCCGGGTAGTGGACATCTGTGACGCCAAGGACCACGACATCGTAGGCGCCATTCACTCCCGGCTCCGCGAAGGCCGAGTACACATAGGCGTTGAACGCGTTGATCTGCTGGAACCTCTCGCCACCCTCCAGGGGGGAGCCACCGTCGCCGCCATCCGGAGGTGAGAATCTGTCAAGAGGGATAACTTCAAACCCAAAATAACCCAAAAGTGTGCATTCAAGTTTTAAAAATTGTTTTATTTCAAACTCTAGCTGACTGCCTAAGGTCTGTTACCTTTTTTAAAAAGTAAACGATAAATTGCAGTAATTTTCAATTTTAAAAGTTGCTGGA